TTGTTATTTACTATTGAAGTTGGAACTAATGTCCTTTAAATTGCTTACCAATCAGGGCTGCACCATATTGAGTGGAGATGTGATAATTCGTCATCTTGCAGCTCACCTGAAGCCTGAATATGTTGTTTTTCTTGTATCCTTCGATCAGGAAATAAGTTCTTTTATCATCTTTCACAGTGGTATGATAGTTTTATTCTGTTCATTTTCGGGCAATTATATCCAAGGAGTTCCCACATGGGAAAAGTTTTATTAAGCGAGTAGTTAGTTCCTTATAATTGTCTTTCTATGTATGTCATTCTAGCCAAACAACCGCTGTACTTTGTTAAAAGTTTTTGGAAGAGCAGATTATCGAAGTATAAAACTTTAAACATGTTGAGTTGATTTCCCAAATGTCGGGTCATGCTCATTTTGAATCTTTTCTGCGATTGGTTTGCCACTCACTGCTTGATTTGAATATTTATTTTGTCTATGTTATCCACTTAATTTTGTTTAAAGACAGATGTTTTCGGTGTGTATGACCGTCCACCATCCGATCCTAATGCAGTACTCTTAAGAGAGATTGGTAAGGTCCCAAGTTATTGTCTGTTTTCGTGCATACAGGATCATGCTTGAAGCTTGGATGATTATTATCGAAAATAGACTACACAAACTTGTCATTGTTGCAGTTGTTAGTGCTGATGGAGATTGGACTGTTGTGAAACCGACTCTTCATTGTACGAATAAGCAAGGTTGGTAAAAGATACTTTAATCTTAATATGATGTTTGACATAGTTAGGAGTTTCTGAAAACCATTGTAGGATTCTTATCGAGGACATTGTGACAACATAACGCACTTAGTACATCAGTTCAATGATCAATAGTTTTAGTCATGTTCTGATATCTTTGACTGTTTCAAAAATTCTTAAAACAGTTGAAATTAGCGTGTCAGCACATGATACTACTGGAGGAATGGTGACGAAAATTTCGGAAGCAGCAATGATTGCGAAGCTTGGAATTGACGTGTACATAGTGAAGGTAATATTATTTGGCCGTAGGTATAAAAAAATATAATTAAGTATCCAATATGAATTAACGTGATGCTTGACTAATAGTATTAATGTATGTTAACAGACTGATGGTATTAATATGTATTACCAGTTCGAGATTAAATTAAATTTTTTTTTAAAGTATAAAAATTAAAAATTGTTAAAGATAATATAAATACTAATTTAAATATTTTTAAAAAATAGATTCACAAATATAATATTCTGGCCAATAATTTTATGAATGAAATTCATATAAAAATTTTATGTTTGTTTGGAATATTAAGTATGGTTGAGATGTTTATGATTTTTACAGGCGGCAACAAGCCACTCGTTGAGGGCCTTAAGTGGAGAATTGAGGAGGAATATTCCTGAAGACTGGCTTGGTACAATTATCCGATTTTCAAGATAACATATAAATGATTTCGCATCCATTTCTTTATTACTTCCCATCAACAATTTTGTATTATTAGATTTGGTGCCGACTTCCATTTTTGCTTGTAATTTGGTAATCCTGACAGCAGGCAACGCAAAACCTGTCTGCTCTTGATACAAACTATGTCAGTATATACTAACAGTCTGGTAATTTATCCCTTTAAAATTCAAACTACCATTTTTCTTTGATGAAAACTTTTTGATTTTCTAACAAAATCAGTCACAGTAGAGAAAGTTGAATAGAGGTTAATTGAGTGACTGTGATGGTATGTGATTGCCAGGCAACCTGTGAAATGTTATTATCTGACTTGTGATACTTATAAAATAATAACAAAATAATTAATAAAATATAATCTTAATTCATTTCCATAGTCAGTCGTTAATTGATAAAATTATAACTGATTCATTGGTGAGTATTTCCCAAGCTTTTCAAATCTTTTCCCTTTTTTCTTTTCATCCTTCCATCTTTCCTTAAGGAATTAACTCGCTTCAATACATCAAACCTAAACTTCTATTTGTTCATTAATGATCAGACTATCATACCATTTGCCTATGAAAGATCGAATCTCATATATCAACCAAGTGGTAGATCCATTAAGGCTTGACTACACGACTCCAATTTGTCCCCAACTCTTTCTATCAAATTAACTTCGACACCATTTATGTACGGAATCCATCAAATAGTAATCTATGTACGCAGTATACAGGAAGTGTTGAATTTCATCTTATATGACCACCTAAGTAATATAATGTGAGTTCTGATAAATACTAAGCTAAATGACGCAACAAACACAAGGCATATACAGTAATACAAGCCGAAACTACCAAGGGAAAACATAATACAGAACAATTCCACCCATCCTGACACCGAGACACTGCCAATCATGATGCACAAGCAGATCAAGACCCATTTAACAGCCCTACATCTTGTTCAATTCATATTCAATCTCTACCTCACCCACTTGAGATAAATGTTATTCATGTTCTTATACTTAATTGTGTAAGTGTGATTATAATTAAACAGCCACATTTCTGTGTTCGTTTCTAATTTCTCATTTATTGCTCAACCCTTAATAGTTTCCGTTGGAATGGACAATTTATAAGAGCAGGAACGATTGAATCTACCCTCAAGCCCTTGAATTATGGACACATAAACAGCAGGTAATTATAAAGAAAAAAACAAGTGTATCAAAGTTAATGCCACAACATTTGATAGATCCAGAGGCTACCCCCTTAGCCCATTCACTGCTAACCAATGTTTCAAAAGGGTAAACAAATAAAGAAAATAAATAAAAACGGATCCCAAAAACTGTAAAGGTAATTTAAGGTTTGAGACAGGTGCTAGGAAGCGTATATACAGTCAGGTGAATATAACCCTTCCACACCAACAACCAAGGTATGGTTCATGTAGTAAATTGTAAAGGAAATAAAAAAGATCCTTTAACCTCCAATAAGCAAACTAGCAGAAAACCTCACCAAATTAAAAACTAATATCTGCCTGCCTCGTTTCAGGCTTCAAGGCCCTTAAACAAAAGGACAATCTATTTGGGTCCGATATCCTTCAGGGCGCAGATCTGCTCCTCTCCCATTGATGACATGACGCTCACAACCAGATCTTTTCCCTCAGCAAATCCATCCTTGATCTGCATAAACATCCAGGAGATTACGTGATACTAAAACCAAACCCCCCAAAACAGGTAACCTGTATTTAAGTGCCAAAGGATTGGGTGCAAAAACACAATAATAAGGATGTGACTTTTGAAAAATATCATATCAATCACCGACTACTAACAGAAATAATAAAGGGTTGTAAATCAGTCCAAAACCAAATCAAAATAAATTGGGTTCAGTTTGGTTTGAATTGACCAAACTTAAGAGAATGTTGACTCTTCTAATTCTTTTCTATTTGTTTTTTTTCTTTTTCAAAGAAAAAAAACTGTCCTAATGTTTACCACCAAAATTTAATTCAAGTAACAACCAAACTAGTAGAAACCAAAACACAGAAATACAAATCCATATAATATTCAAAATCAAACTCAAAAGCATACACTATTTTTCAAAATTATAAATTTAATTACCTATTTTATAATTTTTCTATATATTTTTAGATATTTTATGATTTTTATGAAATATGCACTAGAGTTCTAAAAATCCTTGAACATTCCTCAGTTTTTTGTCAAAACAAATTTTTTACAATGAAAACTGGAAAGTGTAGAGAGAAGTGAACTTTCTTATTTGCATAATCAAACCTGAAACTAAAAACCGAACTGAACCAAATTAACCCAACTTCATACAATTAGGCTTGGTTTTCAGTTAACTGAACCAAATCTAGACCTCTATACTAAAAGCTCATGATTAGATGGAAGAAAATCATTACAAGACTGAGCAAGTGGCGAGATGATTGCGAAAAGACTATTAACAAAAAATTAGGCTGACAATATATCAGATTATATGCACCTCACTCACAATGTTAAAGAATCAAAATTGTAACTCAATCTATTATGCTGCTTATTAAAAGCTCATGATTAGATGGAAGAAAATCATTGCAAGACTGCATCTGACAACTAACCAGTTTCAAACAGAAACAAACAAAAATGATCCTTGCACGCTAACAACACTTCACCAATCACAGCAAACTAGGCAACACACTGGCATGGAAGTGAAAAGAACTAACCTGTGTGAGAAGATTCTCATCAGTTGGAAGCCTCAGGTCATCCTTAGTGTTTCCATTCTCAGTCAGCAGGCTCACCTGAAATTCAACAGATTATTATATGTAGCCTGCCTTCGGTCAAGAAAGGCAATCAAACAGGGGCATATAATTCATACAAATCCGTCCTCAGAGATATCAATCAGCTGGTAGTCAGTACGAGTCACATGAGGAACCTGTAATATAATGAGAAACAAGAATTGTGTTACTGTCATGCAACAAGTACGTATATTCATGGGAACATATTAAATTCTATAATTTGAATGTTCCCAGAAGAGAATATATGCACATACATCACAGTTGTGGGAAGAGGGAACAATATCTTCAAGCTTCTTGCCCGTGAAGATGTCAATTCCAACAAAATGACATTTAGCATGACCATGCTTTCCAGTCTTAGAAGTGGAAACCTCAACAACCTGCATGCAGAGAATGAATTAATCAGATTTGGTACAAAGAAAAGGCAACTAAGGTGACGACATAAAATGAAAGAACAAAACTAGAAAGAAACTTTAAACCCAAAGGGAAAGCTCAATTAGGAAGGTAGAGTGACCATACATGTCTGTGAACAGATCAGCAGTTAACAAAACAGGATAAACCTATTTGACAAGAAGGAACTTTTTAAGCAAACATAGCATAAAAAAGAACAAATCAATATGAATTTCACAAACACACAACTGCCCCTGCTTAAATGTTTGCCTCAGGACCTATCGCCCTGCATCTAGTATTTGCAACAAGCTAAATATAGCAGTTGTTATACGAAAATCCCCTCCACGAGCACACTAATGCTAGACATCAGCAGCTATTGTCAATTGCAAACATTATTCTACTAATTAAATTTTGGTCTGGTGCGGAATAAGAGACTGCGTAGACCATCATAATCTAATAATCCACTAGAACGCCACAAGTTTGGCGTCAGTAACAAACAAGATAGGATTTAAGAGTCTGGCGGATAATTAAAGACTAGTGGACGCCTTTAGCAACATCTATTAAAATTAAAATATGCAAAATAAAAAGCCCCCAAAATCTATAGGAATGCATGCCGATTAAAACCACAAAAAACACTGAACTAGCAAACATCAAGGGGTTGCAGCCAACCACTATTGCAAACTATGTTCCAGAAAGATGAAAAAAAATCAAGCAACAGAGTTAACTCGAAATAAGCTGGTAGTAGAACTGCAAAACACGGTCAACACCCATGAAATCGCACGTGGAAAATACTCCAGGATACGGAAAAACAAAAGAAAAAACAATCAGCAAACGAGAATAAAGCCAGAGATTGAACACGAAGCAAATAAAGCCCCATATAGAAATGACAAAATAATAGAAATGAAAACGCCACATACAACGACGCACAAAAACAGATCTGCACGAAAACCCTGAACGAAAGATCAAAAACAATATTAAAGCACCGGAATCGGAGGAAACCTTGCATGGACGGGATTTGATAACAATGTAACCGTTCTTGCGGATGGTACCAGCCTGCTGAGGGTAGGTTTTTGAAGCTCCAGCGTCGGCTTTTGACTCGAAGTGGTGCTCCTCGTCAGACATGACTACAGTCCGCAGAGAGAGAGAGAGCTTCAGATAAGAGAATTCACGGAGAGAAAATGGGAGAAGAGAAAAGGGGAATAAAAGGGTTATGGAAGCCTTAAGTATATATGTTGGGGAACTAGGGTTTTGTTGAATTGTGACGTAAGATGAGGCTGCTGATTCATTGCGTACAAACAACGCGGTTTGATAAACACATTCGCATGTGCGTAGAAATCAAATCATTTTTTTTACATAATTTTTTTTTACTAATTTTCATTATTAAATTAAAAAATAAATTATACTTCAGAAAATTGAAAAATAAAATATTTTATTTTATTTTATTTTTTAATACGAAATCTAATATTAACCAATATAATCAGAAATTCATATAATTTTATTGAAAATATTAAAAGAATTTGATTATATGAAAAATTTTCTTATTTAACTATCTATTATAAAAACTAAAATTACTGGATAACGGATGATTGTCATAAAAATAATAATTAAAACTATTGTGAACTGTATCAAACAAATTTTAATAGAAATGGTAGGTTTAAACCAATCAAATTTTGTTCATACAAAGTATAGTACAGATAATATAATCGTCGCTCATGAAATTATTCATACTATGAAGAGGAAGATTAGAATGAAGAAAATGATTGATTGTTAAAATTGACTTAGAAAAACTATATGATAAACTGAATTTGGAGTTTTTTAAAGGAGATTTTAGTCCTTATTAAAATTTCAAATGAGATTGCCGGTCTTGGTAATCATGAATTGCATTTTTTTCAGTGTTTATGCAGGTTTGTTGGAACGAGGAGCTCTCTCATGAGTTCAAACTAACTAGAGGGTGAGGCAATGTGACCCTATATCCTCTTATATCTTTGTTCTATGTATATAATAACTTTTTTATGAAATTGTTGCAACTATCGAAAAAGGATATTGGAAACCTAATGAACTAAATAAACATGGGCCAAACATTTCTCATTTGCTTTTCGCGGATGACATCTTACAGTTTGCAGAAACTTCCTCTAGTTAAGTATTGATAATGAGATGAATGTTTGCTAAAATTTTAATAGCTTTGGGTAGATGGTGAATTTACTGAAAATAAAATTTCATTTTTCTAAAAAAGTCTCCCATATAATCAGCAGAAAATTGAGTTGAGATTTTGGTGTGCATATAAGTTCTGATCTTGGAATTTACCTTGGGATGCCATTATTACATAAACAAGTAACTAGGGAGACTTATTGCAAGATTTTAGAGAATGTACAATATAAGTTTGACAGCTGGACTACCAAACACTTGGTTTTGAGAAGGAGAATAACTCTAGTTAAGCATGTTATTGCCTTCATGCCCATGTATGCCATGTAAACGACCCCCTTTTGCTTTCAGTTTGTTCTACAATATTGAACAAAAATACAAGAATTTCATTTGGGGAAGGGACAACACAGAAAAAAGTATCAGTTTAATTAAGTAGAAATCTCTTTGCCAACCTTTTGACAGAGGGTGATAGACCTTTATAATATGAGAAGAGTTAATGATATGTTTTATATGAATTTGAATTGGGAACTCATTTATAATAGAAAGAGTTTTTGGGGTTCAAATTTTAAGAACCTGTATAGTTGATAGATCATTAATGTGCGGTATAATAATTTAATGATTTTTTTTTATTTGAATAACTTACAAATAGATGTTATAATTATTTGAGTAGTTTGTAGTAGTGGATTATTTCTCTATTTTTTTTAGATTTTTCAAACAACTGATTTTGTGGTTTTTAACGGTTGAAAATTTTTCTTCCCGTTTTACCCTGATAATTATTTGTTAATTCTTGTTTTACCTTTAACCAAAATTTGTTTTTCTTATACCTAACCCTGTTATTCTTTCTTTGTCGCCGCTTGCTTCTCCTCTTCTCCTCTGCTTCTGCTTCCGTATTCTGCTCCTACTTCTGCTTCTTCTTGTTGCGAAAAGCTGTTTTTGCTTCTATTTGCTTATCCTCCTACCCTTATTCTGCTTATGTTTGTTGCGCGAGTCACCACTGGTGTTAACTTACTTCACTAAACACAACAATAATCAAGGTATGTACTGATTAATTTTTTTTTTTTTTTAACGAAAATGGCTTTATAATTATTTTAAAATGTGTCTACTTGATCAATGAAGCATGATTTTGTACCCAGTTTGTTACCTAGCCTATTCAGTCTTTTGCTTAAAAATCCGTATTGAGACTTTTTGCTGGGAACGGAGTGCATGTATTTGAGAGAGGAAATGATTAAAGTAGTTTCAGAATGTCGACCATTAAAGCAGTTTTCCAACTAGTTTATAGCCATTTCTCCCTCACTCTCCTCTCTCTCTCTCTTTCTCTGCTCATATTGTTCCAATCTGAATCAACTTTGCCTCTTCTATTTGAGAGGGGAAATGATATTTCTCCTGTTAGCTTGGTATTCCATGTCACTATTGGATATTGTGGATGTTGGGAATTTTTTGTGAGGATTTACACATTTTAGTATTTCACGATATTCACATCTCAAAAAAATATGAAAGGTGTAACAAATGCTCAGTAAAGTGGAAACAAAGATGCTGATATGTGTGCATGCATGTGTATAATGAATCAGTATGCATAAAAAATTAAAGAGTTATACAGAAGGGAGAAAGTTACTCCCTTGATATATAGTTCATAAACTTGACCAGAAAAGAAAAGGAAAAAAAAAAGAAATAAGAAGAGCAGAGAAGCAGTAATGAGATGATTTAAAATTAGGGGTGGAAGTGGCGGTTGTTGCTGCTGGAATCCTCATTTTCTCTATCAACCACATCTTTAACCAATTTAGGTGTTTAGCTCTACAATTTAGGTGTATTTAGCTCTACAATAAGAAGCCGGATGCAGAAATTTGACCAGTATATCTAAGTTTGATTGGTTCATCACTTCCAAAATCAATTCATCACTTCCACTATCACTTCCAGCCCCACTCTCAAGTGGTTGAAACCAGTTCTCAAGCTTTAGCAAATACACTCTTTATGCTTTCAAGATTCATTTTGTCAGATCTCCAATTTGAACTCGTCACATATCAAGGCTAGTTGCTTTTAGAAATAGAAAACAAAAAAAAAAAACAATAAGTTTTGTAATAAGTTGTGGAACTCGTTGTGCAGGAGTGAGGGCTAATTGGCACACAAAGTCTGTAAATCTTTAGTGCTTGTTTGTGAGTTTATATTTCATTGCTCAGGAGGAGTTAGAACTAGTTGACACACAAAATTAAGGAATTTTCAGAAATTGTTGCTCAAGATAGTGAAGGTTAGTTGTTTAACAAAAGTTGCGAATGTTTAGAATTCATTGTTTAACAGGGTGAAAGTCAGTTGCCACATAAAATTTGAGAACTTCCAGAGCTAGTTGCTCAAGGTACGAGGGTTAGTTATCTTGTAAAAGTTAAGAACCCTTTAACTTCATTCGACTAAGAGTTGATCTCATAGACGTTTTGATTTATTCAAACCTTGGTTCAAGCTCACTACAAGGGGTGGTTTGTCTAATTCATCAAGTTCCAAATTTTTAGTTTTTGTTTTAGCTTTTCATTTAATTTAGTTTACTTGTAAGGTCAGCAAAACAACATCAACAAGTAGCAAAACAAGAAAAAGGCCCCAAAGATTAAACAGTTAACTGAAGATTATATGTTAGAAGCCCATTCCAATATTTTCTTATTTAAACTTTAAAGCTAAAACAAAAGTGTACATGTAAAGTAGAAAATGAGAGTAGAACTCTAAGGAACAAAATTTGTAACCCCAAAAACAAGTAAAATGGAAAAAAAGGAAAACTAGATTAAGAAACCCAACTGCCAGCAAGCCAAAAAGAACATAAACAGGAAAAAAAAGACCTGTTAAAGAGACAGAGATCGACAGAATGTCAGTTCTTCTTTTCCTCTACTGTTTTCTTCTTAGCTGTTGCTTGTGAATACAGGAAAGTTCCAAATATGGCAATAGCTAATCCAAGTGCATTCAAAGGCCTAGCAAGGTTCCTAAAAACTAAAACAGTTGATACAATCACCACCACCCTCTTAATAGTGTTCCCAACTGAAAATGTTAAAGGACTAATTTCATCAAGCGCCTGGTAAGATTATTGGTTATATAGATGGTAAAATATCCCAGACAGCAGCACCCATAAATAAAAAGTGGATGATTTTTCTACTGATTTAATTACTTTATGATACCCCTAAATCCATTGTGACCCTTCAACAAAAACTGCAACTGAAAACAGGTTAAGCAATGAGATTATACTGATCCAATCATACAAGTTCAATCCATTAACTTCCTTGAAATTCTGCAAACTCCTCTTGGAATAAATGTTCCTTAAAACAAACCCCACATTACTAATCAATGCACCCCACAAGCCTTAAAAATTGAAGGACACTTCAGTAATTGCAGCTAGAGAGCAACGTAGGAGTGAGAGAGAGACATATTAAAAAATTATGCGTACATATATATTTAATAAACAAAGATTATTGGGGGTAGTAGGTAGCGGTGGAATGTAATGGAAGATCCTTGGCAATCTCCATTGAAAAAATTTGTTCCTTGTTTAATACTTGTGAAACATGGATTGGTTAGTAGCATTACTTTCTTTTTTGTGTTATTTTTATGGCTATACTTTTCTCCTAATTTCATGCCACCCAATCATTCACTAAACTCTCTCATACTCTGCAACACTTCACCTCATCAAGATGTCATATAAATATAAGAGTCTGCAGCCTTTTTAATGACAGAGAGAGATCCTACATTTATTTATTCTCTCCATTTCACGCGTGGCAAGCAACTTTCATTGCTTTTTGCATGGAATGAAAAATTTGAAAAAATTTTATTTGGAAAAATTTAGCCATAGGCATAAATTTATTCTCTCATAATTTTGCCATATGTATAAATTTTACTTGAAAAAATTTGATTCACTACTAATTAAAGAATTTAGAATATGATTTGCTTTAACTGTTAAAAGTAAATAAGCCTCTTACTCTTGTTTTCTGTTAAAACTTATTCTTATTTTATGTTTTCTCATAAGGTAAGAAAAATGGATCTTACAAAACATGTAGCTATTTTAGTGGGGTATTTTGTCATGCTTGTTGCGATTTATATTCATAAAAGGAGAA